GTTAATTCGACCTGCTATACAACAAATCTTAAAGTTTAGGAGATCAATGGTCAAATTGTTTAGGCCCCGTTCACTTTACCAATTCGAGTTTTGTTACAGTAAAAAGCTCTCACAAACAATCACATCTAACTTTTTTGCTACAGTAAAAAGCTCTCACATAAAATCACATCTCAACTCGAATTAGTTCATGCTGAATCACTAGAGCCTCGTTCATTTCACCGATTTGAGTTTTTAATTTTAGGTTTCTACAGTATAAAATTTTCAGAAAATGTCACATTTAACTTTTTTTGCTACTAGAAAAAGCTCTCAGAAAATGTCACATCTCAGCTCGAATTGAAAACTCGAATCTACGAAGTGAACAAGGCCCGGCCTCGTTCATTTTACCGATTTAAGTTTTCAATTCTAGGTTTCTACAGTAAAAAGCTCTCAAAAAATGTCACATCTAACTTTTTCTGCTACAGTCAAAAGCTCTCAGAAAATATCACATCTCAATTCGAATTGAAAACTCGAATCCACAAAGTAAACGAGACCTAAATACTTAAAACAATTCAGGGATAATCATGCAATATATAATAATAATAATAATAATAATAATAATAATAATAATAATAATAATAGTAATAATATTAATATTAATAAAGAAATGAGGCCACAACTTCATCTAATAAAACTTACCTGTTAACTACTATAAAAGAAGAATGAGTTTTCTTTGTGCCTAAAAGCGCGTTTCTTTACTTCTCTCTCTCTTAATTTTACCTTTTCTTTCTTTTTTCGTTGTCTTTTTTTTTTCCTTCCCTCTTTTTCCTTCTTTTCCTTTTTTTTTTCTCAACAAATTTTCATCATATGGGGTTTTTCGGTGGAATTCCGTCCCAAATTGGTATTTCATCATTTTTTTTCCTTTTCTTTTGTGATAAAGAAAAAAAAAAACATGTTCATCATTTTTTTCCTTTTCTTTTGTGATAAAGAAAAAAACACATGTTCATCATTTTTTTCCTTTTCTTTTGTGATAAAGAAAAAAAAACACATGTTCTTGTGATAAAGAAAAAAAAAACATGTTCTTGTGATAAAGGAAAAAAAAAACATGTTCTTGTGATAAAATGCCTTGTAAGTGGGACTTTTTTTTTGGGTTTTTTTTTTTTTTTTTTTTTTTTTTACTTTTCTTCCTTTTTTTTCCCTCTCTTTTCTTCTTTCTTTTTTTTTTTAGTCTTCCCCTTTTTCCATTCTTATCTTTTTTATCCTATTATACATTTTTTTTATTTATTCGAGTGAAACCTTAATAAATATATTTTTCACTTTTACCTATAAAATCTTGCGCCATATTCAACTAGTACATAGTACATGTATATACATATATTTATATGTGTACATATATATATATATATGTGGATGAGTGTTAATGGTTACTTTCCTTGGGTGGTTACCTATGAAATATAAAAACTAATGACTTAACGTGATAAAAATATAATATTATTAATTGTCATAAATTTTTTGACTAATTATCTAATTTATTATAATTATCATATTAGATACCGTAAAATAATTGGGTGTTTGGTACAAGAGGTGGATGGGTTCATACAATCTGTATCCATAAGCCCGGCAGGAATTGTTGTTTAGTTACTTTGGGTAACTTTATTTCGATTGTGGAGCTGGTTATGACTATTTTAAAACTTACCACCCTTTTAAACTCACCTAATTCGGAAATATAGGACTTTTTCCCCTTGAATTCATGTTTTCAACACATATTTAAATATAATTCAGATTTTATACTTTAATTCATATACCAATGCCAGTTCATGTTGCAGTTTAAAACATATTGTATAGATTTTATAGTTCAAATTAAAAAAGTTCAAACCGTTACAATTTCAATCCGCAAATAAATAAAAAAAACCTAATTCCTAATTCATGTTTTTAAGGTATCTAAATACGAGTCAAATTCTATTTTTTTGTTCAAATTTGCACTTTAGCTGCATATTTAAACCCGAATTCAAAATATAATTTAAATCGTATTTTCTCAGATTTCATAGTTAAAATCCAAGGGTACAAATAACCACAATTGGAATCCCCAATGTTTCCCATTCTGTCACGCCTCCCAAACGGGGTGGGTGACGTGGAGCTCGATTAGGGATTAATAAAGCAGATTCCCAGACCGGGCCCCACACTTAACTGCATTAAAATATAAATGAATTACAGAATCCCGGAGCCTCTGACACACAGGGCTCCACCCCACAGGACATACAGTATCGTACATACATGCTCATGTAATTAATCATTACAACAGACATCAACCACAGTCTAGTAAATCCAAATATTACATAAGTTTACAGAATTCTCAAATTCCTTACATTTGTCCAAGAGGATGTTCACGATCCTCACTTGATTCAACAGTAGCAACTCCAGCTACCCTGCACCGCTCCTCGAGTCTCCTGGGAGGGGTTTGACATTTAAAATATAAAACGTGAGCGAAAGGCCCAGTAGGATATAATTTGAAATATTTAAAATAAATGAGCGCATGAATGAATAATTGAATACATAAATAAAATAAGACATTCAGTCCCGACAGAACAGCCGGAACCTCACATCATTTTTCTCAAAGGAAATATAACTGCAAATAACCATATTACAGGCTTCAGCAAGTAATTAGTACAAATTACTTACCTAACCAAGTGCCTCGCCTACCCGGACCGGTTTCGGGTTCTGCCCCTGAGGATGCACTCTCCGCATCCTATCTAGGCTTACAGCAATAGACTCTATTACCAGTTCACAAGATCTCTTTGCTTAAGAAATCATTTATTAAACATTTTGAAATCATTAATACGACCCCACGAACTACTCAAGCCGCGGGCCCCATGACTGGACAAACCATGAGGTTCCATGACTAAACAAGCCATGGTTTTCAAAGCATTTTCTTTCACAAATCAATCCCTTTCTTTAAAACATTTTCAAGGCCAAAA